ATACTAGTTCTGGATGAGGCATATGTATGTTTGATTTGCTAATCTAGCTTTCTTCCCTGAGAGTCACATTTAACTCTTAGTTTCAGGTGTTTTCACCCGCATTGCATTCCGCCCATGAACTTTAAAGTTTTACATTTTCCCACCACCTAGGTAGGAATCTAGAAATCTAGAGTCAGTTTAAATTCTGGACAACTTTTTAATGCTGGTTTCCCTCAGTGAGCAATGAACAAAAACAAAGCAATGAACAAAAACATAATTCGTTAGCATATATCATTTAATTAAAATGTATTCAAACCAACTTTCAACTTGTACTACCAGTATGTCTTAATTTTATAAACCAACTTAAAACAATGAATGTAATAAGGGAAGCACTAAAATTCAGGTTTCAAGCATAGCCAAGGCACTTTCATCACTTCCGACCTTGACAGTCCTAAGTTAAAGGAGTGATCATAAAATCTTTAATCAACTCAAATAGTTCTGCAAGAATTGTGGATTCACTTGCAAATATTTTCTTCTCCTTTTGCTCTTAATCATCTTTTTCTTGTCATAACTTTATTAATATTAATATCCAGTTAAGTAACCAATGAATATAGTATAGCATACTTTAAGAAACAAAGACTAGAGATTTTCATCCCAATTTTAGGAGATATTCTTTAAAATTGAAACTGTTGTATAGCATGTAAAAATAAGCACTTTCAGATATACACTTCACAAAATAGCATTAAACTGGAATAATCTAATTTTAATAAACATTTTTTGGGGAAGATGTGATGTCAAACCTACCATGACTATTATTTTAGATATATGTATAGTACAACTATTAGATGGTCAATTAGTTTAACTGCTTTCTAAGAAGACCACAAATTATTGTATAAAAGAGGTAATCATTAAAAATTACATTGGGAAGGAAATCCAAATGTCTAGTGCTTCCACTCACTTAATAGAAGTCCTTCTTTAAACAGTAAGAAATACAATATGCATGAATAAGTGACTAAAATATTCATCTGATTTTTCAGGAGGAAAAACATCAAAACCGATTTTACGTCATCCCTTTTGAAAAGTTGGTTTGAAAGTCAGATCACCATCCCGGACCAGGAGACAAGCAGAGAGATCCACAGGAGTCAGGGAGAGGAGGAAGGATTAAAGCAAGACAAGAGTAAGAAAACCAACAGCCCAAGTGTGACACCAGAGACAGGAAGGAGTGGTGGGGTGGTGACTAACCAGCGAATGCTTGGCTCAAGGGGACAGTTGAATTACTCAGTTTCGGCTGGGGCCTACTACATGAGAATACATGTTTGGGCTTTCTAGACACTTTGATCTTTCAGGAAGAGCAGATTTTGCGAAGAAACTTTAAAAAAAAAATTCTAATATGGGCAATCACTTTTTTGTTTAAGTCTAGTGTTGCCACCTTTAAATTATGGCAAGCAGTTTAAAAAGGCAAAACACTGTATAAGCCAAACCAAACACACCTTTCGGCTGCTAGTCTCTAGGACGGTGCTATGGATCCTGCACCTGTGGGCTACTTTAACAAAGCATTCTGTTGAGGAAAACTAAGGTTCCAGTGAGCAAGAGGAAAGGAGCCAGAGTTACTTGGAGATGATATAAATAAGACAGACTGGAAAACTTAAGGCACAAAGAGTCATAACGTTTAGATGTTAAAGAATCGTAAAGGTTTCACACTACTGGAAATGATTTTTTAAAATAAACCAATTCTTTGTTCAACAAGTTAATGACGCTAGTCCTTTTCACGAAGCTGATGAAATCAAGATTTTGGTCAGCATTCCTTTCTTCTTTCTTACATTTAAAAACTACATAAAAATTGTACCATTAAAGACAAAAAAAAAATATTTTGGATGCACAGTCCAGCTGTGGAACACTGTAGCAGTCTGTTTACTAATCTCCCTTAATGACTAAAATCAGAGTGAATGTTATGCTCATTTTCTAATGTTATTGTAACTCCAGAATGTCAGATTCTTCTATTAGCGTTGCAAGCCTCAATAAAACTGAAAGTGTGCGTTCTTTATTCTGATATTGATACATGCATTTTCTGGGGGTGAAGGATAAGCAGCTCTTTTCAGCTGAGTTGGCTTGAGAGGATAAAGCACATGCACTTTTTCCAGTTGGTTTATTGCATTTCATGTACAGTCATATGCAGTTCTCCATTCACATGTGATCTGCGAACACCTATTCCGACTTCTATAGAGATATATATATACACAATTTCCACAGTAAAATTTTAAATGTTTCATACATACCACTATAAGCCATAAAATATATATTTGGTAATAAAAACTTAATAGCACTTTAAGTTATAAATTAACTTTTACCCTGGAAGCTGAGATCTTCCCACAATGTGATGTCTTTTGCCAAGGGGCAACAAAATTGTAATGTGGAATCAATATTGCCGCTGCTCTTTGCTGCACCTATCGCCTCCTTCTACTATGAATTCATTCGTCTGCCTTCTCTCCCACCCCCTGGCAATTAGTGCAGCAGAAACACAGAAAGGAGAGGACTGTGCCGAGGTTAACCAGTTTGATTCCGCATTGAAGGCACGAGTGCATATAATGTTGGTAAATCTCTTCGTATCAAAGGCATCTCAATTTAGATCATTTAAAAGAAACTACAGATAAAATTAGATGTGTAGCACATATTTCTAAAATATTGTCCATATTTTTTCCATTTTAAATAAAGGTATTAAGGGATTCGTGACAATGTAAAAAACTACTCTAGGCACTTAGGAAATTTGCGAATTCGAAAAGTTGGAGAATAATTTTTGCTAAATAAATTACCATTTGGCAGTAAGTCCTAGTCTACCAAAAATAATTTGTTTGAAATGCTGTTAACAGCTACTTCTTATCAAGGAATAAAGACAGGCATCCCACCCTGGTCAAACATGCAAAACCACTCCCACTCCACCCCAAAACTAAAGAAACCTTAGGCTGTCACATGTGAAAGTGCTATGACATATATATATACACATGTATATATATTTATTAGAGTCTTGGTTTGGTAGTGAGCAATTTCATTTAAACCTATCATTCGCTTTTGGCACACTAACAAATTCAGAACCTTATCTAGTGTTGAGAAAACCGTAACCAGACACCAATTGTGTGTACGTATACACATCCTGGTTTTATGGGCAGGGTGCCTTAACAACCTCTTACACGTGCAGCCACCGCACGGGGCGTACGGGAGTAACTACTCTCACGTTAAGTCTTCCCTGACATTTTGCCGAAAGGAAAAAAATGTTTAAGTACATTAATTTCACCAACTTCTTGACTGAAAGCTCGGCTTTCAATTGTTTTGTCAAATAGTTTCAATCAATCAACTGACTCTAGAATTTTACCGTTCTAGGAATTTGGTAGTTTGTTTAATAATATTGTAACCTGTATAAAAATGAAATTTGTAATGTTATTTTCGCCTTTTAAAACTTTACATTTCCTACATAAAAGGTAGCAATGACTTAATTATACATAAAGTACCCTTAACTGAAAATGAGATGAGGCTGCATTCATAGGCTTTAGAGAATAGTAAATTGCATAGAAATTCATCAATTTAAGTGACATGGTACCATGACAACTTGTACATTAGCAGCTTGACAGACAGCTTCGAATTTTCACAGACTACTACATGAACTGTTAGGGCAACAGAAACTTTTACAAATAGTAGCATGTTAAAGACCTGTCTACCTAACAACAGTACACTGCCCCACCGCTCCCATCAGAGAAATGACCCAGTTTGTTTACATGATCCAACTGACCATCTCAATGGTGATTCGCTGTTATCACTCGAATCAGCTATCACTACTCTGTGTATTATGTATATGTACGTGTGTATATATATTTATGAATGAGAATACCCTGACAGTCTGATTGGTTAAGGGCGTATTGGTACAGTTTTTTCTTCTATTACATGTCACTCATTTCGGCCCCAAATTCTACAACTCTAAATAAATAAAACGTCATTTACAAAGATACATTGCTATGTACAAATGCAAAAATTCATCCTGAGGATTTTGTTATCTAGGAGAACTGTTTCACAGAAAGAAGGAAGTATCAATCTGTGAAATAAAAATGCACCTTGAGTTAAACTAAGTAATTCATAATTACAGGTTAATTTACCCAAGTTCCAGCCAAGAAAAGCATGAAGATATTTAGGAAATCTTAAATTGATTTGCATGCAAGAAATTGATCATATACAACTTTTCAAATCCCAGTGTTCTTCCCCCTTAAACTTCTTGTTTAACGTTTTAGTCTGACTGTATTTGTAAAGTAGGTGACAGGGAAAAAAATACCTGAGGAAAACTCAGTAATGTGCTGAGGGTTCTTTTCCTCATTGGAAAGCAGTGGGGCTTCAGGCCACCATGAGAAACAGTCAGTGGGCCTTTGGCTTTACCCAAGTTAAGCTCCCCTAACAGGAGCAGTTAGCTAAACAAGTTCAATGCTTTCCAAAGGAAAAAGGTCAAGTTAAAATAAAAATCTAAATAAAGGTAAAATATCAACAGTTTCTCTGCTTTACAGTGTGACCATAAAATTACTTATTTACAGAAATTAAAAGAAATGGTTCAACAAAGAATCAAACTGGTTTCTCCAGGTATATACCATTACAATATATCTTTTTACTCTTGATGCTGTGAGCAGACAGTGATTATTTTGGAGAAGGAAAAATAAGGTGTGGAATTAGTAATGCAGATGCTGAAAGGCAAGTGGCAAGAGGAGAAGAATGCCTCCAAGAAAGGCCTCTTTGTTCCCATCTCTACTGCACCTACCCCCATCCCCCCACAAGGTACAAGACCAGAATAACCAAAGCTATTTTAACAGTAGTGTGCAAAACTGTCAGCTGACAAACAACATAAAAACAAGTCACGCCATGTTATCTGTGGTCACGTTCTTCAGGGTTAGTCCAGTAACTCAAGACTTTACATTCTTTTGTCTTTATTTATTTATTTTAATTAAACATATAAAGGTTAATAAACAGACATAGTCCAGAGTTAGTAGGTTGGTATTATAACATTTATTAAAATAATGCTATGGGTTAATAGAAACAGCAAAGAACCAAAGAATTAAAATGCAAGCTATGTAAAATCCCAACTAAAACCCAAAAGTGTCTAATGTATTCATTCATTAGCTAACTAAAAGCCCAAAAAAGACAAGACACCCAATATAATAAAGTACTGCAAAACAATTGGCAATTTTCAGTTATCAAAATTGTGGATTTTGCATTTTGTATCCTTTTCTCAATCAAGAAAAAAATTCTTTTTGAATGTTATATAACATACATATAAAACAAGATAGAAAAATACATTATAAACTTGTAACAATGGCTGTAAATACATTATCTTACATGTTTCTCATAGGCAATAGGTTGGTTATGGTACATACACAGCATGAAACTAAGATAATAAAGAATAGACAAAAATACATGTCAGCTGTACGATAACATACAAGCGACACTCCCATCTACCCACACTAAAAAATTACATAATACTGTCAGAAAAAAAGTCTTAAAAACTACATATTTTAATAAGAAATAAATTCAATAAAGAATGATAATACTGAGAACCAAGGCATTCAGAGATTTCAAAAGTCATGCTTTTTTCAGTTGATCCAAAATTTTGTCAACCAAGTTTTCAAAAGTTTGTTCAGAGCCAACATTACCCATAAATGTCACACATTTATTATTTCATACATTTACTTTCTTCCCCATAAAAGACCTTTGATAAACATCTAAAATGTCCAGGTATAACACAGTTGAGATGAAACTGGATCAAATACTGGTATTTTTTTTAACAACTATCACCTCAAGTGTTTGAGTGTCGCAAATTTATTAAAGCAACCAAACAATATAAAAATCAAAATGGCACAGCATATATTGTAAATAAATCAAAACTGTATGTGTAACAGAAAGACAAAGCAGTGGCATATTAAACCAAAGCTAGCTGGATACAAAACAACGAATGTCTATTGCATAGTAAATAAACTGACAACGGTTTCCAAGTGAGACAAGATGGCAGGGGAGGTCACCAAGAAGGTCATGACTCAGCTTCACCTACCCCCATCCCCCCACAAGGTACAAGACCAGAATAACCAAAGCTATTTTAACAGTAGTGTGCAAAACTGTCAGCTGACAAACAACATAAAAACAAGTCACGCCATGTTATCTGTGGTCACGTTCTTCAGGGTTAGTCCAGTAACTCAAGACTTTACATTCTTTTGTCTTTATTTATTTATTTTAATTAAACATATAAAGGTTAATAAACAGACATAGTCCAGAGTTAGTAGGTTGGTATTATAACATTTATTAAAATAATGCTATGGGTTAATAGAAACAGCAAAGAACCAAAGAATTAAAATGCAAGCTATGTAAAATCCCAACTAAAACCCAAAAGTGTCTAATGTATTCATTCATTAGCTAACTAAAAGCCCAAAAAAGACAAGACACCCAATATAATAAAGTACTGCAAAACAATTGGCAATTTTCAGTTATCAAAATTGTGGATTTTGCATTTTGTATCCTTTTCTCAATCAAGAA